ATTTTGTATTTAAATTTATTGCATTTGGACTACAAAGTGTATCAAAAATGTACGTAAATATACATTTATTGCAATATTGCTATATATGATTCCGGTAGTATAGACCAATCAGAGTTATGCTATAGATTTTATACTTTTTATTTTTAAATGATGACAGTTAGTTTTAATTAATTAACATACTTTTTAAAAATTAACCACAAATTCAAATTTAAATTTATTTTTTGTCACGTTTCGACTTCGAGGTAGAAAGTCGATTTTTATTTTTCATTGAAAAGTGGAAAGGAAAATATCAAATAAAAAAAATCTAACTTTAAATTTGTTATTAATTACTAAAATATGTATTTACACTTCACCGAAAATATATCTTCTTTTTCATCTTGATGTACCTATCCGTGGCGAATACTTTCGATCATCATGGAAATTTTTATCTTGTCTGTAGCAACGCAGAAAAACTGCATAGATAATTTTGAACCTGGTTCTGAGGTTCTTTAACCAGAATGTACGTCTTTCTTCTGGATATAGTCTTCCAAAAGTTTTTTTCCTGCAGGGTAGTTTGTAATAGGGCATGTTTAGTGCCAAAGGACTGTATCTTTCTAGATTTAATGCTAGCAGTATCTCTTGATTTTTCTTCATCCTTCTGAGCTCTTCATTTGTAATTCGGTTATTATACGGGATGTTAAGTATTTCATATACAACTATACCTTAAATGTTTTTAATTTTATTCACAAATCTTCGTTTAAGGTCCACATCTCAACACCATAAAACAGAACAGAGAAGATTTAGCATAACAGCATGCTTACTTTTAAAACAAGAGAGAGAGATTGTGTCTTTTGGAAAAGGTCTCGTTCAGTTGGAGCTAGATCGAGATTTTCCAAAGGGCGCTCTTATTTTTGCTTGGTGGTCTCTTCTTCATTTGTTATCGTGCCGAGGTAGTTGTAGTTTGTTTGTAGTAATTTGTCTATTGCGGATTGGTTGATGCAGACTTAACCTTCTGTTATCCTTTTCTTGCTAACTATTTTGAGCTTTGTCTTTTTTACGTTTATATAAAAGGATAATGTCCGCGGTACGTGATTTTGTTGATAAAGAATTGTAGAAAAAATATAGGCAATAAATATTATAGAAAATTAATAACTACTTTTAAAAAATTAAAATATAATAACAAATGAAAAAGGTCTTATTATAAAAACTCCTGTTTAAAATCATCGTACCCCTACAAACATTCCATATAATGTATATTTGGCAGTTCTTCTGTAACCGGAAAAGCATAGTTTAATCGGATTACCTCCGATTTCAACCAAAATTTGTAAAGATGTCGCTATTAGCGATCACCAACAGCAAATCCTCTCTCTGTGTACCGTCACTCCTACCAACAACTTACCACTCTCATCGTTGCTCGCTGGAGATGAGAAATCAGCAAAAATATAAAACACCATGGACAACCGACGGAGAATAAAGTTTGATTATAAGTAATAATTCGATGCCACTGTCTTTTTTTCTCATACCCTGCGATCGAGTTTCGATCTATCTAGGCTATCATCTGTAGCTTAGGCTGACTAGTGATCATTCGTTCCTATGGTTTTGGATGCTAACTAATGATCGTTCCCTACCTCACCGAGTGCCGCTAATATTCATTTTTCACCAGCATCTACGTCGGACCGCAGCCCCGTTGATTTTATTTACAAGGATTTATCTTTCTATTTTTATTATTCATTTTGTATAGAAGTAAATTTTATTTTTGTTTATTTATTTCAATATATTTTTTATTTGCATTAAGCTTGTGTTTTAGTGAGTCCGGTACCCAATAGAGATACCGTCACAGATTATTGAACCATGGGCCGTTTGGCCCATGCCCATCCAGTACTGATTTATAGTGAAGTCGTTTTACCCTGTCGTATTTCGGATTAACGCCCGAAAAATAACTTCTGACTCTAGTTACAGCCACTCTGTTATGCTTTCCCTTTTACTGAACCTCCTACTGGTCGGCTGTAGTACTTGAGGATAAATTAGCGCTACCAAACCAATTTTTCTATAAATCGTGAAAAAATGCAAATTGAATGATTTGTGATGATAATTTATTGAAAAAACTTTTAAAATTTTATTTCAAATAAAATTGTCCCGAGGAATGCATCCATACCTTGCGGTCGCATAACTGGATAATTTTAGTTGTTATATTTGCAAAAATAGTAAACAGTCTGCAGAGTCGAGGCTCTTCATTGACCGGACACCGAGGTCATTCAGAAATATCATTTATGACATGTACAAAGCAAAAGAACATGTTACAAGAAAGACACTTATTCAAAAAATAAAGGACAGAGAACTTTGTGATATGGGTTTGACCAGTTTATCAAAAGTATTAAAAGCTATGGGTTTTAGATACAAAAAAACCAATAATCGTAAAGTGTTGTGCGATCTGTCCAATGTTGTTGGAAAAAGGTGGAAATTTATAAGAAACTATTTAACAAACAAGAATTCCGAATTTGCTAGACAATTTGTGTTTCTTGACGAAACATGGATTTTTGCGAAAGGAAATAATACCAAATTATTCTGGAAAGATGATTCTATCAAATGCTATTCGAGTACTAGTGCGAGTAATGGCAAAAGATATATTATATTGCATGCAGGAAATACGGAAGGTTTTATACCCAATGCTAGTCTTTTATTTTTTTCGACAAAAAAAACTGATGATTACCACGGAATTTAAAGAACATTGGTTTAAAGAAAAATTATTAAAAAATCTGGAAAATCCGTCATTAGTAGTCTTAGACAATGCTTCGTATCATACCATAGAGGAGGAAAAGTTTCCCACTGGGGGAAAGTCATATGAAATAGAACAAGTTATTGATGAAGTAAGACCTTTAATTATTCGTACAGATGAAGATTCAGATGAATCAGATAGCGAGTCAGATAGTGATGATACCTGTTCATAGATTAAGACGTAGATAGAAAAATTAACATAAAAGGGTACTAACCAACAAAAAAAACAAAAAAGAACAAAACAAAAACCGCATGCAGGAGAGAGCCGGAGGCACGCCGCACGACGCTCTTAAATGCAAGCACCAAAAAAATTAGATTATTAAGTAAGGTAGAAAAAGAACATGACTGGACGAATAACTGGGTATTAGACGACGGATGAAAGGATTCGATGCTTGCTCGCTCTCGACTGCACTTGGTGCAGAAAAGGGAAAGCAAGTATCGACACACACAACCATCATTAGATCGCCGAACAATTGCTTTGACCGGTAGTGATAAAGCCAAATGAGCTAACCTACCACTTAAATGTAAATACATGGAAATCTCCCATTTCCTGACGGGAGATACCGCGAAATAGTCGAGACCTGGCTCCAAAGACCAGGAGAAAGAGGAAAGCCGGAGCTGGTTGTACCGCAGGAGAACAACCTACCTCGGTGAGTTTGGGAAGGTGTGTGTGGGAAGTAGGAATAAGTCTTTGTTTTATTTAGATATATATTTTTATAGATATATTTATAAAATATATAAAAATAAAAATATAATACAAAATGTTGAACACCCAGTATTAACATTGGCAAATTTTTTTATGCTTGAACAAAAATAGAGTTTAGTACACGCTGAAAAAGAATTTTTTTTTCAGCATAACTAATAACAATATTAATTTTTGAAGTTACATGTGTAATATGAAAATTTTTTTCAAAAACTTTAAATATCTCAAAAATGGCTATTTTTTTGAGAATGGTATCCCAATAAAAATCGATCCAGAATTTTACGCAGATTCTAAAAAATAACAAAAAGCACAGTTTCTACTTAAAATAAGAAACTTAATGGCGACTTCCGATACAACCGGAAGTGCTAGAAGAATGTAAATATTTAAACAATAAAGAATGCTTTGCATAACCCATTATTCCAAGTTTGCAAAAACCAGTGACGACCAAAACTTTGAAAACTTTTAACCAACATGTTGAGTGAATGACCCTGTATATTTCATACTCAATGTTTATCAATTTATATTATGATATTTAATTATTATAAAACATAATACAAAGTTATTTTATTAAAAAAAATCCTAATGTGGTATTATCAAATAAAGAAAACCGTACATTTTTAATTTAAAAACCGCTGACTACCTGAGGCAAATCTGAACAGACACTTTTATTACTTATGCGACAGGCTGAAACGATCCTACTTTAGTAACCGTATATAGTGGTTAGTTCGAAGATCTCGTGTGCACGTGTCCAGTTATATAAATATTTGTGTTGCGACATCTTTAAAAGCTAATTATTATATTTGGACATATTAGAAATATGTTTGCTATCATCATCATTTTGGCTTTACAACCCTGTGTGAGTCTTAGCCTCCACAAGAATTCTCTTCCAGTCGTCCCTATCCATCGCCTTCCTCCGCCAAGCACGTATTTTCATATTTCTCATATCTTGGTCTATGTTATCTAGGAATCTTGTTCTGGGTCTTCCTCTTCTTCTTTGACCAATAGGTCTATCAAGGAGCGTTTTTCTAGCTGGGTCGGTTTGCTCCATCCGCATTATATGGCCTATCCACCTAAGACGTCCTATCTTAATGTGTTTTACGATATCTGGTTCCTGGTATATTCTATAGAGTTCGAAGTTGTGTCGTCTTTTCCAGACACCATTTTCATTTACCGCTCCATAGAGTCCCCTCAGTATTTTTCTTTCTAGATATCCTAACATATTTACATTGCTTTTTGGTAAAGTCCAGGTTTCTGAACCATATGTTAGGACTGGGGGTATTATTGTTTTGCAGAGTTTTTACTATATCAACTATAAATATAATGTTTTTATTTATATATTTTTTTATTTATGTCTTAAGCACTTACGCGTTGACAGCACCAGGCGCGGTACCTGGCACGTGGTGGGCATAACAATATTATTATATCTTATTGTTCTGTTACGGATTGTCATGGATCGAAGACCTGGGCCTTTAAAGGAAAATGAATCCCCGAAGAAAAGGTGTTAATATCACAATAAAAGAAAGGTGAGACACGATAAACTTACTGCATTACTTGAAGATTCAGATGAAGATCCGTATGCAAATCATATTGATGACAATATTAATCTTAACTTTAATTAAATTTGTGTTATTTGTTACTCATTTTTTTATTTACGGTACCAAGTATCTTGAGATATGGCCATTAAACAGCAAAGAGATACTTTCTTTATATACTCTTCGCTGATAACTTAAACTGTGTATGATTTCATTATATTGTATTTGTAAAGGTATTTCCTAATTTTAATACTATTCATTTCTATATATATATATATATATATATATATATATATATATATATATATATATATACAACCATTGATCAATTGATGGTGCATTTTTCATTACTTGTGTGTACATTAGGCTGCCTATATTATTGTGTTTTTGAATATATTGTTGTTGTTTTATGTATGAATTTTGATTTCTCGATTCCTGACAAGTTTCCTAATATACCAATATCTCTGAATATTTGCTTATTATATTAAATTATTATTATATTTTCGACCAGAAGAAAGATAATTCTGATTAAGTTTTGTAGGTATGTAGGAGTCCACCTAATATATCTATTATTTGTTTATATAGTGTGTTGACCAAATTTATTTAATTTATTAACTGTTAATATATTTTCTTTGGTTTGATATCTGAGCATAAATATCTTTCCTTATCTCTTTTCTTTTCTAAGGTTTTTTAATCTTTTTTAAGGTTTTTTATCTTTGGTAATTTTACCCATCTATCTTTTTGTTATTGTATTTCTGTATCTTTTATCATATAACTTATCTTTCCTATATTTACTTATTTCGTCCGTTGGACCCATTCCCGGTTCCAAAAGCTAGTTTCGAACCCACGACTCGCTCTCCACCAACCATCTGGATGCCGTTCGCATTGTCTCCATTGGTGACCTTTCTAGTACCATCCAAAAAAAGGTTTCCGAGGGTACACTACATTATAAAATAAGATTAAACATTTTCAATCTTCTAATCGTAAATTATATTTGAAATATTTAAATATAATATTTTTCTCTATATAAAGAAACAGGTTCCAGTGGTAAAATTTAGATAAACATTTTGCTCTAATATTGAAGCATTATAATATTTAGATAAAACAAAAGTTTTAGCTTGTGGGTAAAATATAACCAATGTGTTTTTACCATTAAATTTTAGACTTTCGTCAAGTCTATAATGTCCCGAAATGCAACACATTATTTTTATAATTTTTTTTTAAACAGACTTTTGCACTAAAATCAAAATGGAATTGCGTATTTTAAAACTGCCTATAATAAGATTTCTTTTCGTATTTTTTTACTGGTTTTTTTTCGGCTTTTTTAATTAGTTATTTTTTATATTTTTTATTTTTTTTATGTATATTAGCATTTTATGAAAAATAGCAAGAATTATTTTTGTCTTAAAATAACCCAAATTATTAAAAAATAGTAGTTTTGAAGCAAAAACATCAGTTTTTTATAATTTTTTTAAAAATTGTTATTTATAAAATAGCGTTCCGTGCAAAATTTTCGGGTAAATTTTGAACTTAACATGAACTGGCATCATAACCTATGGATTAAAATAAGTTTTAGCTTGTGAGTATGCAATCGACTTTTTTAGACAAAAACCAACAACCTAGTAGAACCATTGAAGTTTCTTTAAATTAATTAAAATTACTGAAATTACTAATTTCAACCACCGCTGAAACTTTTCGTTAGATTTGAGATTTCTATATTTTAGGTTACTTTGGTATTTCACTATATGTAAAAATTCAAGCGCGAAATAAATTAAAACTGGTTGATTTATACACAGAAACCGTTTTAACTTTGTCAGATTATAGTGCAACATATAGAAAAGTAGGCGAGCGCTATTTGAAAAAGTTGAACTACTGCCAAATGTAAAAGCTTTGTAACATACAACTGCATCAGAAAAATGCGGACTCAGCTGAAACGAGCCGTATACTAAAGTGAGGTATTCAAGAAATATTTTTATTGTTTATTTGGTGTAGCTACAGCGATAAAATACATATCAAGAGTTTAAAGTTGACAAATGGAACACAAAATAATAAAAGTTTACTTCATTTACAGATTAAAATATAATATAATATATCCGTACCTCGAAGGTAAAGGACACTATGTCCATTTTCTTACTTTTTAAGGAGAGCAGTTTTAACATTTTTTAAATTTGTAATCAGTTAATACTCAAATGTTTCTGATATTTAACCAAAATTAATATAATATATTAATATTAATATTATATTAATATTAATAGAACACAGCATAAGTAAAACACAGTTCGGTTTTAGATGCGGTTTTGGAACTCGAGAACCCCTCTTTGCAATACAAGTTTTGATTCAAAAATGCCTGGATCAACAGAAAGATGTTTACGTCTGTTTTATCGACTATGAGAAAGCATTCGATACTATCAAACATGACAAACTCATAGAACTATTACGTCTTTCAGGACTTGACACTAAGGACATCCAGATTATAAAAAATCTATATTGAAATCAAACAGCCCACATGAAGAATGGACATATGGTGAGTGAAAACATAACCATTTCTAGAGGGGTAAGACAGGGCTGTATTCTTTCGCCACTGCTTTTCAACCTGTACACGGAACAAATATTTCTAGAGGCACTAGAAGAGTACAATGAGGGCATCAAGATTAATGGCGTACCAATAAGTAATTTTCGACATGCAGATGATACTATTATACTGGCCGATAACATCGAAGATTTACAGATGATGCTACATAGAGTTAGTACAACTGGCAGCCGATTTGGAGTGAAGATCAATAGAAAGAAAACTAAATTTATGGTGATCAGTAAAAAAAAATTTCAACATATCGACCTGCATATTGAAGACGAACGTATTGAAAGAGTACACCGATTTAAATATTTGGGATATACAGTAAATGACAAGTGGGACCCAGAAGTAGAGATTAAGATCCGAATTGAAATAGCAAGATCCAAATTCATTAAAATGAGAAAGCTCTTAAGCAACCGCAACCTAAGCATTAACCTCCGATGGCGCGCCACGAAATGCTACGTACTCTCTACGCTACTTTACGGCGTAGAAGGGTGGACGTTAACAGCAGCAACTATAAAGAAGTTAGCGGCTCTAGAAATGTGGCTGTATCGACGCATACTGAGAATACCTTGGACAGACAGAGTGACCAACACAGAGGTATTAAGACGAATGGGCAAAAAAGGGGTGGAATTGTTAACAAATGTTAAAAGGAGGAAAGCGTCATACCTGGGCCATGTGTTCCGTAATTATAAGTACAGTCTGCTACAGCTTATCGTGGAAGGCAAGATTGAAGGTAGAAGAGGTTTGGGCAGAAAGAAGAAATACTGGCTGAGAAACTTGAGAGAATGGTTTCAAATACCAGAAGCTGCGAACATAATTCATGCGGCACAAAACAGAGAAACCTATCGTATGATGGTCGCCAACCTTCGGTAGAAGACGGCACATAAAGAAAATATTCATTTTGAGCAAATTCATAATTGGGGGGATCACCCAATAAGACCTGTAGTTTCTTTTTATACAGCTGCGTCATATAAACTTTCAAAATAACTGTTAGAGATTATTTTAGAACACACTCAATTTTCACCTAAATTTACCATAACAAATACAATAGAACTAGTGAATAAAATACAACATTTTCAATTATCTAACAACTTCAGATTAATTTCGTTTGACGTAAAAAATCTTTTTCCTAGTATCCCTCCTACAGAAACTTCTGAATTCTAGTAAAAAACATTTTAGACCAAAATAGTACACATCCAATAATTACATCTGAAATTTTACATCTTCTTGTAGTTTGCATAAACCAGGACTACTTTGAATTTAATAATAAAATATATACAAATAACAGTGCAGGACTTATAATGGGTATTCCTCTAAGCCCATTGCTACCAGATATTTTTATGGATTATCTAGAGACAAATATTTCAAAACATCCCCTATTCAAACAGTTTTTATATTGGTGGAGATACGTAGACGACGTACTGGTATGTTTCACAGGAACTAACGGCAACTGGACCAATTTTTATCTTATATTAATTCACTTCATAGTCATATTGAATTTACAATAGAAACAGAACAAAATCAATCCATAAATTTTTTAGATTTAAAAATAAGCAGACTTCAAAACAAACATGACTTCTCCATATGTCATAAACCTACCCATACTGACACGACTATACACAATTCATCATCCCATCCAATACAACATAAACTGGCAGCTTATCATAGTATGTTACATAGATTAACAGAAATTCTGATGTCAAAATACAACTTTAAGACAGAAATAAATATAATTAAGCAAATAGCAGTAAACAACGGATACAACGAACAAACAATTAATAAAATGTTAAATTAAAAACTACACACGAAAGCCCTGAAATTAGTATTTCCACCACCAGAGAAAAAAACCAGTACCTTCTGCTCGATTACATATACAGGCAAAATAACAACAAAAATTGCCACACACATAAAAAAGAAAAATGAATAACACCAGCTTTCCGAACAAATAACAACCTAGGCAAATATATTAAAAATAACAAGAGTAAAAATAAAAAAAACATTTAAATAGCGGTGTGTACAAACTTCAATGTGGCGACTGCCCAAAAAACTACATCGGCCAAACTGGTAGAAACTTTGATAAACGAATAGCAGAACATAAAAGGGCTTTCAAAAATAGAAAAAGAGATTCGACATACGCACTTCACCTTCTATATCATAATCATTCTTTTAATGACAAATTTAAAATTCTTCACATTCAAAATAAAGGCCTTAAGCTATCTTTGTTAAAATCTATGGAAATCAACAAATTAAAAAACACAGTTATAATTCTGAATGACCAACTTGAGACAAACAGTTCTCCCCTCCTCAACCTATTTTATTATAGACTATAAATTTGTAAACCCAAGCCAAAAATAGATCATTTGAGAAAGGCAATTAGCCGAAACAGCTGTAGTGATAAGATTTAAAATAAATTTTGTGACAGTTTGAAAACAAAGTTTTCA